AATAAAAGAAAAAAAAAGAAAAAAATATTATAAAGTGAACGTGATTAAATTTAACAATAATAATAATAATAATAATAATAATAATGATAAACTTTAACAATCGTACGTGATAATTATTATTATTATTAATATTATCGATATCGATCGGATATATATGTATAAATTTTCACACCCCCCGTTTTTTTTTTTTTTTAAATAATTATCGCGAGGGATGATTATCGTTTTACGTAATAAATTATCAATGATTTTGTTTAAATAAAAATGTCTAACACCATCTCTCTCTCTCACTCTCTCTCTCTCTTTTTCTCACACATTTCGTGAGTATAGTAAAAAAAAAAAGATGATGATGATAATAAAAATGTAATAAAAATTAATTAATAGTATAATTTATTTCAGGTGCAAAAAATTTTTTTTTTTTTTTTTTTTTTTTTGCGGGAACTCTTTCCGGTTTAAAATATGAAAAATGGGATTTTGTCCCTTTTGCAAAACCCCCCCCCACCCCCCTCTCTCTTTCTTTCTCACTAAATCATTTTAATCTGTTTTTTTTTTTTTTTTTTTTTTTTTTTTCACGATAAAATTATTAAAATTTGTGTAAAAAAAAAATTACCGTGGTAATAGAAAAAAAAAAAAAAACCACGTTCGTAACGTAAAAAATTTAAATTATTATTATTATTATTATTATTGACTTCCGGTTTGTCAAAAAATTTAATTTTTCAACAACGACAACGACAACAGCAGAGAAAAAAAAATAAAATTTATAAATAGGAAAAAAAAAAAATTTTCACAAAAAAAAAAAAATCGTTTACAAAATAATAATAATAATAATAATAAATAATTTTTTTTGTTTGTGTTTGTGTTTGTTGTTGTTGTTGTAAATAAATAAAAACTTACCGAATGTTTAAAATTCACATAAAAATCCACCATAATTATAACACAATTCAACGATAAAAATTTTTTTTTTTTTTTTTTAAACCCCCCCCAAAAAAAAAAAAAAACAAAAAAAAAATTTATCACGTGATAACAAGAGTGAGAGAGAGAGAGAGAGTAATAAAATACTTATTATTCCCCGTTAAAAATCCCGAGAAAAAAAAAAAAATTCCCGTGAAAGAGAAAAAAGTTCCCGTACAGACAAGAGTCACTCTTCGTTCTGTCGGTCGTCGTTTAAATTCAATGCTGGCTCCTCCTAAACTACATTTGAAATCCTTCTTCCTTCCTTCTCTTTTCTTCACGTTCCCCCCTCCCCTCGCCCTCCCCCCACTCCCGCCCGACTCCTCCTCTTCACTCCCTTCGGTTTGTTATTTTTTTTTTTTTACCCGACAGGAATTTTTTTTTTTTATTTAACTTTCCGTGTAATCGTCATCACGCACGCACACGCACTCACGCACGCACTTGTTGAAGTCCGATATTTATTTATCGGAATTTACTCGGGGTGAAATACTAATAATAATAATAATAATAATAATAATTCTATCGGTTAATTTTTTTTTCATCTCACTCTCTCTCTCTCTCTCTCTCTCTCTCACTTTTAAAC